TTTCATATTCTCTGTGTGTATATAAAGTCTGCTGCAGTTTCCACAGTATGCATCCGATGAAGTGAGCTGTAGCTCACGAAAGCTCATGCTCCAATAAATTGGTTAGTCTCTAAGGTGCCACAAGTACTCCTTTTCTTTTTGCGAATACAGACTAACACGGCTGTTCCTCTGAACTCTGAAACCTGTTCCTCAGACGTTCTTGTTAACTGCTGGAAATGGCCCACCTTGATTATCACTACAAAAGGTTTTCTCTCCCCCTCCCTGCTCTCCTGCTGGTAATAGCTTATCTTAAGTGATCACTCTCCTTACAGTGTGTATGGTAACACCCATTGTTTCATGTTCTCTGTGTATATAAATCTCCCCACTGTATTTTCCACTGAATGCCTCCGATGAAGTGAGCTGTAGCTCACGAAAGCTTATGCTGAAATAAATTGGTTAGTCTCTAAGGTGCCACAAGCACTCTTTTTCTTTCTACAGAAGAGTAACACTTCACACAACAGAACCACTAACCCAGGAACCTATCCTTCCAAGAAAGCCCCTTGCCAACTGTGCCCACATATCTGTTCAGGGGACACCATCACAGGGCCTAATCACATCAGCCACACTATCAGAGGCTCGTTCACCTGCACATCCACCAATGTGATATATGCCATCATGTGCCAGCAATGCCCCTCTGCCATGTACATTGGTCAAACTGGACAGTCTCTACGTAAAAGAATAAATGGACACAAATCAGATGTCAAGAATTATAACATTCATAAACTAGTCGGAGAACACTTTAATCTCTCTGGTCACTCGATTTCTGATCTCAAAGTGACTATCCTTCAAAAAAAAGCTTCGAAAACAGACTCCAACGAGAGACTGCTGAATTGGAATTAATTTGCAAATTGGATACAATTAACTTAGGCTTGAATAGAGACTGGGAATGGTTGATTCATTATAAAAAGTAACCTATTTCCCCTTGTTTATTCCTTCCCGGCCCTCCCCCGCCCCCAGACGTTCTGGTTAAACTTGGATTTAAACTTGGAGAGTGGTCACTTTGGATGAGCTATTACCAGCAGGATAGTGAGTTTGTGTGTGTGTGTTTTTGGAGGGGGGTGAGGGGGTGAGAGAACCTGGATTTGTGCATGTGGGCCGGGCAATAACTCATGTGTACAGTCTGCTCTGAAGAGAGCAACCTGGGGAGAGGCAAGTAGCGGTAATGTTACAAGTACAGCGGTGACCATGTCAATTAGACCGTCACTGCGAGAGGGACTGTACGGATATAGGCGGTGAGCTTTTGAACATGCCCAGTCTGAACTAGAACAGAGGGTCTCAACCTTGTTCTTTCTCAGCCCCCCCGTCCCTCCCCCCGCCCACACACACACACACACACGTATAAAAACTCCACAGCCGACCAGTGCCTCGACAACTCGTTTTCTGTATAAACCCAGGACCTGTGTTATGAGGTAGCAATCAGGGCACTTTCTTGGGGCCTCAGGGTGTCCCATGAAGCTACATTGCTCAGGCTTCAGGTTCAGACCGGGTGGCAGGGCCTGGGCCGGGGCTTCAGCCCCATGCGGTGGGTTTTGGGGTTTCTGCCCTGCATGGGCACCCCCTGAAACTGGCTTGCTCCCTCCCCTCCAGGGGGCCCTGGGCTCCTGGTGGAGAACCAGTGAACGAGAGGTTTCCAGCAGCCTGATCCCTCTGGGCTTGTCCACACCTAAAGGGCTGCAGCGGCGCTGCCGTAGCACTTCACTGAAGACGTGCCCTAAGCTCTCTCCTGTTGGCACAGGTAACCCACCTCCCACGAGGCAGTGGCTATGTGGAAGGGAGAAGCTCTCCCGTTGCCATGTAGTAGGGCCGCCCCTGACTGTCCCACTGTGTCCGTCCCAGCACAGAAATACACCGCAGCGTCTCCCAGCCTCACAGGGCGCAGGGCCAGGGTGCTGGACACTCTCTGTCGGCGGAGATGTGCGGGGCTCCCGCCGGCTCGGGGGTCTTCGTGGTTTCCTTGTATCCGATAACTACAAACTGGGGTCCCGTGTTCGGGAGCTGCCGGTATCAGACTGTGCTGTCAGTCGCCTTGGTGGTGAGGCGAGAACACGTGCGGTCCAGTTCGACTCCCTCCAAAGCTTCTGCGGAGCCCGGCTGCTGAATTTTGGCTCTCCCCGGGGCCACTAGGAGCGAAAACCAGCAAGAGAATTGATTTGGTGGGCGCGAAACTTCCGAGGGACCCTAGGGTTAAATCCCCTTTCGCCAGCCCCCATCCAGTGGCTGCCCCGGGAGTTTCGAAGTGCCAGGGAGGGGGAGAATGCTGGGGGAAGGAGAGAGAGGCGTGGCTGGATCGAGAGACAGAAGAAGAAGAGTGTGTATGAGGAGAGATGGGGGGTGCATTTGGTGAGGTGGGGGGATGTAGGGTGGAGGAGAGAGGGGGGTTGGGGAAGACAGAGGTTGAGGGAAACTGTTATTTTACTCACTGATAACAATCAGCACAGTGGCTAACACGGGGGCTGTTGCAGCCCTCCTGTGTCCGCGATGTGTCTGTGTCGAAATGTAGAAGCCACACTCCACTGCGAAACATTAACAACGGTGCCTGCAGGGAGGGAGCTGCCCTTTTGCTCTCTCACCAGCCCCCGAGACAGTCAGAGAGACGGGAGCTCTGGCCTTTTCCTTTCAGCTACAGCCCCAAGACGCTTTGGCAGGGCGGTAGAAACCAAAGTCGTGCAATGATGCCTTGCCTGTGGCTCGTGGCTCCTCTCTCTGCGCTTGGGAACCATCGGCTGTGACACAGGTTAACTCCCGCCTCGACGGTGCAAATCACCGATTTTTATCAGGCGTTCAGGCTGCTGCAGCGAAATCTCACTGATTTACTTTCAACTCCCGCCAAACAGTGGGGAGTTATTCAAACGGAATGAGATTGGGGTGCTCGGCCAATAAACCAGCTCCCCCCGCAGCATTAGTGCCGGAGAAGGATGTTGCTGTCTGTCTGTCTGTCTATGGGTCGATTTTTCTCTACTCGACACTTATATATTCCTCCACCCCAAAGTGCCAGTTTCCCTGTAGACTATGAACTTTCCCCTCATGATCTCGGTAGCGTTTGTGTGTGTGTTTGTTTGACTTTATTGGTGTTACGCTAATTTTGTTTCATGCTATTCCGTATAATGTCTAAAAAAAGGTGAAGCCCTGGACTGGATCAAGCCGGTGAAGCCCAGAGCTAGCCGGTGACCAGAGAGATCTGATCCAAGTTCTGTGGTTGCACCATTCCTCCCTTCCCCTCCGAGACCCCGGTGCCCTCCTTCCCGCTGCTCTGCACAGACCCTGCGCGGTTTTTGCTCAGCTTCCTGCCGGTCGGTGTCACTGTGTCGCTCGCGGCGCAGTAATAGGTCGCGGAGTCGCGCACTTCACTGGCCGGTTTCCACAGGTGGAAGGATTTGTGCTTTTTCTCATGGGTGGCATTGAAGGATTTTCTGATCCCTTCATCCGAGTTCTCCTTTCCCAGGTCCCTCAGGAAGAGCCGGGGGGCTGGCTGGGGAATTGCACGTACCAGAAGACGGCATACACTGCGGCATCATCATAGCTACAGTTGAGCCTCAAACCTTCTCCCTCGGACACGGTCATGGGGCCTTGCGTCTGCATCACCGACACTCCAGTGGCCCCTTCTGGAGGGGAAAAAATAAACCTCGTTGGCGTGAAGGATGTGACCGCCGAGATTTTTTCAAAGCCACCCAAGGGATTCTGGCGCATCGTGAGTAGATTCAAGTCAGGCGACTTTGAAAATGTTCAGACGCTCACGGAATGTAGGGGATTTAGGACCGTAAAAGGAGAGAGAGAGAGAGAGGGAAGGAGAGATTGAGGGAGAGAGGTGCTGCTGTGGGAAGGATGCATGGATGGATGGATAGTGGAAAGAGATGTGCGGAGACAGAGAAAAGAGTGAGATTATTTTAGCTGAGAATTATTGTTTATATTTGAAGGACGAGATCATGGGGAGAGACATTCAGAAATGAAATAGGAAATCCAACTCACTGAATACTAAAGTCATCGCAACCAGCGAGAACTGGATTGTTAACATCCTCTCGGGGTCTCTGGTCCTCGTCTGCCGGGAGCTTCCTCGCTCCTCTCTGACCAGTCCCACGAGTTGTCCGCTTTCTCCTTTTCTTGCAGCTGCAAACCAACGCTGGCTCTCCTGAGGGCCGGAGATTTAAAAGTAGGGAAGCCGTGCTTCCGCGGGAGCTGGGGTGGTGAGCGCCTCCCGCTGCCAATTTACCCCTCCCCCCTTTCTGTTTGGTCGTAGTTGCCTTCAGGATTTCCTCGCCGCCCCTGCGAGGAGGCAGGTGGCCTCACGAATGCAGAGCCAGGGGGGTGAAATAGCTCCGTGTGTCATCATGTCTATACAGGGGACATTCCTGCTGGTTCCGCAGTGCCCTCTGCCGGGAAACCCGGTGAACTGCTGAGAGAGGGGAGCTGAACATTTGCATGGAGTGACTGTAATTAGGGTTTCTTTGTCGTTGCTATAAAACGGGCCAATATAATTAATTAGAAAAAAAATATTTTTTAAAAAAATCCAGTTTATTAAGAGATAAGGATTTACCATCCTATAACATGGCTATTAAAATATTTTCTCTCTCTCTTTGTTTTTATGGGTTTATCTTGCTTCTGCCCACCGCCCTCGTATGGGAATGACTTCCACACCTTATGGATAGCGGCAGCAGCAACGTCCTTAGAGGACTTCAGAGCTCTTACCATGTGAAGTGTAACAGTTCTGCTTGGAGGGTCAGAGGTTTTGGTTGTATTAATATCCTTTCTGTTTGTCTCACGTGCATTTGTTTTAGGGATGCTAACGATTAATAATATAATAGCAGAAGAAGAATTTTGGTTGGGTGGGTGATGGGGCTGGGTAGAAGAGGGTCACTCTTGTGTTCTTGTATCAAGGCCCTTTCTGGGAAACAAAAAAAAAAAAAAAGAGGGAAGGGGCGCGCCCCCCCCCACGCGGGGGGGGCCCCCCAGAGTCACTCCGCCGCAGCAACAGAGCTGCTCTGGAATTACATCGCTGCAGGTGCAGCTACACCTTTGGGGCTTGGGGGTAACATTTTCAACAGTGCCTTCATGACTTAAAGTCTAAGTCCCATGTTCCAAAGATGGAACGGCGTCCTTATAAACTGGGAAAAACCTTGTTAGGGGGGTTGAGTTAAACCCTCGTGCAAACTGATATGTGAACGTGCCCTTCAGGTAAGATCGTTTTAAGAAAGGCTTAAGAGACCGCACACCTAAAACAAAACCGAATAGCATCTGCCCAAGGTGGGGGTGGGGTGAGTTCCACTGGGTATTGTAAACAGAGGGGAGTTCAGTGCGGCTCATTTGCGATCGGAGAAGAGGGACCAATTTTCCCCAGAACCTTGGCTTGCCTCCTCCAAAAGTTTCCCTAGGTCTAGGTGCTCCATTTCTCCCCCTCCCCAGTCGTGGCAGGATATACTATAATCACACCGAATGTTCTGTTTGATGACACAGCCCTCCCCACCCTGAATTTCTCTGAAATGATGCCGGGGGAGGGGGGAGGGAACTCTGAGAAACGGGAAACAGACATGAACAGAGAGGAGAGCGAAAGTCAAGCAGCAGCCTGTGTGCACAGCGGTTTCCAGGGAAAAGCCAGCGCTGGCGGAAGCGCGCTGTTAGCAAGAGAAGCTGTTTCCTTCTGTTTTATTCCCTCTGCTTTGAAAGCTGCAGAAATTTGTACGTTCCTGGTCAATCACTAAAAACGCAGCAAATAAATATCGGTTACCAACCATGCAAATCCTGCACGTAGGCAGCGGGTTAGAGTAGATGGTCCCTGATAACCCTGTTATCACAACAGGTAGGTCCACAGGGCCCCAGACTTTGACTAGATGCTCTGGTCAAAACAGCATTTGGGAGCCTAAAGCCTCTCCAGGTGCCTCTCTGGATCTTTAGGTCCCTAAATACCTTTGAAAATTTGACCCTTCGGAGACTTTTTTTAATTGGAAGACCATAGAAATTAGGCTTGCAATTATCTGGGTCACTTTGGATACAGTCATGAACTTCTACATGCTATTGTTCAAAGCTGAGATTTTCAAAGGAGCCTAAGGGAGTTGGGCGCTTATTGCTCACTGGAGTTCCATGCGTCCATTCTCCTGGCCCCTTTGAGGATCTCAGCCCGCAATTTGATTATCCGTGTGAGCTTCCTTCTCTTCCTGCCCAGGACTCTCAGACTCGGGGAGGTTTTTGTTCAGCTCGCCCTGCATTTCCTCTCTCTGTGCCTCTCACGGCGCAGTAATACACCCCCGAGTCCTCCACCGCCACCTCGGTGATGCGCAGCGGGGCGGACCGGCCGGGGGGGTCAATCGACAGTTCAAACCGCTCCGATGTCTCCGCGGACTTGTAGCCAGAGATCACAGCTCGAGGGGCAGCTCCGGGGCGCTGATAGTACCAAAAAATTCTCTCGTAGCCAGCGACACTGTGGTTACAGGGGAGGTCAGCCCTGCCCCCCGCCAGGAAGGACAGCGCAGCAGACTGAGAAACCTTCCTGTCCACCGCTCCGCCTGGGAATAAAATAAAACCAGAGCATGAAAAATCCCCCAGACACAAACAGGGAAACTGGCAGCAGCAGAAGCAGCAGCGTGAAGTGTCTCCTAGAAGGACACCTGGACACAGGTGAAAATTAATAAATACGGGGGAGGGGAATAATGCCCAGAAATGCCACGTGGGAATCTGACTCACTGGAGACAAGGAGCAGCGCAGTCATGGAGACCAGGGTTTTAAGCATCCTCTCAATGAAGATTCGGTGTCTCTGCGCCTCTTCTCGGAGCGGCTCCGTTTTCTCTCCACTCAGGCACCAACCCGCCCCCAGCAATGTCTAAAGAAACGAATTAGGTCCTTTCCTCGCAGAGGGAAGCCGACCTCTGTCTTCTGAGGGCTGAAGGAATCCGGGAACGCTGCTTCCGCTCCGAATTAAATTGTGATTCTTGGCGTCAAGCATCAAATCTCTCCGAGCTTGGTTGGTAGCTGCCTTTCCGCTGAGCTGCTAGAAAGTCTCGCAGGGTCCGGGAGGGGGCGGGGGCGGGGGGGCGGCTTGAGCGGGGGGAGGGAGGGAGAGAACTAGATGTCCAGAAACACCAGACAGCACGCTCGTTTCTGGAGCGTTCCGGTCGGAGCAGCAAACTTTGTTCCGACTTTCCTAGAGGAGTCGCGGTTTCTGAAGGAAGGAGAGTGGGGGCAGGGGCTAGGTTAGTTTTGTTTGTTTATTGTTGCCATAGAAACGAGGATGATTTTACAGCTTTGAAGCCAGAGATATTTTGCATTCGGCTCCCTTAAGGGAACATGTTTTCCTACCGGAAATATTTAGTAATGAACTTTCCTTTAGAAAGCTTTCAGAGTAACAGCCGTGTTAGTCTGTATTCGTAAACAGAAAAGGAGTACTTGTGGCACCTTAGAGACTAACCAATTTATTTGAACATGCGCTTTCCTGAGCTACAGTTCAAGAAAGCTTATGCTCAAATAAATTATTTAGTCTCTAAGGTGCCACAAGTACTCCTTTTCTTTGTCCTTTAGAAAGTATCCCATGCTAAGAAAAGGAAAGAAAATGAATTTGTGTCTCGTATTTCTTGTAATCTAGACACCTCAATAAACACATGTGGAGCGACTCCGGATTTACGCTGCTATTCACACAGCTGTCCCAGGATCTGCAGACCTGGGTTCCAGTCCCCCTCGCCTTACGATATGGCCCCATTGACTCCACTGGTGCGCTGCCCATTTATAACAGCTGAGGATGAGTCCCCTTGGCTACCATGGAGTTACGCTGCTTTTCACCTGCTGGGGATCTGCCCCTGCATCTCCTCCGCCAAGCTGCCTATCAGAGGCTGAGGGTTTTTGCCCTGAGCCCAGCTCTGCCTGCGTCACTGTGCATTCACCGCGCAGAGATATCTGCCTGAGTCCCGCAGATGGGAGTTGGTGATGTGCAGAGAGCTGCGTTTCCCACTTTCCAGGCGCTCGCCTATGAACCGCCCCACAGTGACATTGTCATTAGAGCTCGTGGTCAGCAGGTGAGTCGGCCCTTGCCCAGGGAGCTGCTGGTACCACTGGAAGGTTTGGTAAGCGCTGGTGAAAGAGCAGAACATGGTGGAGACCTTCCCTTCCCCAGTAACCAGCCACTCGGGGCTCTGAACCACTTGGGCTTTGCAGCAGGAGACTGGAGGGAAACAAAATAATAGGAGTTAACATGAAGGTTATGACAGTGTTATATTGCCTGTTTACCTATGGAAATGGTTCTCAAACTTTTGTGGTGGTGACCCCTTTCACGTAGCAAGCCTCTGAGTGCGACCCCCCTTAAAAATTAAAAACACTTTTTTGTATATTTAACACCATTATAAATGTTGGAGGCAAAGTGGAGTTTGGGGTGGAGGCCAACAGCTCGTGACCACCTCCCCCTCTCCCCCCATGTAATAACCTCTTTATCCCCTGAGAGGTCCTGAACCCCAGTTTGAGAACCCCTGATCTATGGCTATATCCCTCTTTCTTTCTTCAGCCTCCATCCATCATTCTGTTTTTCCTCCCCTATATCTGCCTTTTTGTACATTTGTACAGATTCAAAATACAGATCTTTCCATCAACATCTCTTTATTTTTCTCTGTTCACTCCTCAAATCTTAAAAAAAAGCAGGACAAGAAATGCTAACAAAGAACTCCAAAGGATTTTACAGTTCAAATAGATCAGAGCCTGAGATATGTCCCATTGGCAGGCCCCTCTCTCCTTACAGGTGCGATAGATAGATAGATAGATAGATAGATAGATAGATAGATAGATAGATAGATAGATAGATAGATAGATAGATAGATAGATAGATAGATAGATAGATAGATCCATCCATCCATCCCTACTGGCAAGGAAATGAAGAAGAGCTAGGAGATCTTGCCCCACACTGACTTCTAAGAATCTGCATCTTTTTACCTTTAGAATGAGAAAATATTGTTTCACTCACAGAGAAAAACAAAGGTGAGGAGAAGGCTCCAAAGAGCAGTTCCACTCTCTGAGCCCATGGTAAGCTCAGTTTCTTCTCTCCCTTCCAGAGAAATATACCGAGGTAGAGTCAAACCGAGGAAGATTTTCAGGAGACCAGTGGAAATGAGAATTCTCCCTCCCCTCAGGTTTCAGCCTTCTCAAGAGGAAGGATTCCCCGCCTACAGAGGCTGCTGTTTCATTGTGTGCCCCGGGGAGGAACAGCAGCTCTGTGAACTGGGTTGGGCTGGGGACATTGAGGACAGCCCGGACCTCAGGCTGTGGGAATTAACCAGGGTTTGCAGCGTAGGAGGGTGAGCCCTCTAGCGCCATCTTCTGCCCTGGGACAGAGAGGGGGTGGGAAGAAATTCTTTGCTTCAGGGGAATCCTCGGTAGAAGGTCATGGGAATGATACACAGCCATCCATTCACAGCTTCACCACCCATTTACTCCAATGGATCTATGCCAATTTACAAGAGCTGAGGATCTGTCCCCTTGAAAACTCAGAGAATTGGTAGGTAAAATCCCCCGGAAAGCAAATCTATGGGGGGAAAGAATTTAGGAGAGTTGGCAGTTTTTTAGAGCGATATTATGAAGGGCACAAGAGCAAACTATCCCAAGGTATAGGAAGGTTAGGAAGTATGGTCAGAGGCCACTCCTGCTCAACTAGGAGGTTTTCAATGACCTGAAACTCAAAAAGCAAGTCAGGCAAAAAGTAGAAACTGGGTTAAATCACAAATGATAAATATTAAAAAGAAAAAAAAAAACAAGCATGTAGGGAGCAAATTAGAAAGGCCAAGGCAGAAAATGAGAATAAAATTGGTAGGGTCATAAAGAGTAACAAAGTATTTTACAAATATATAAGAAGCAAGACCAAGGACACAGGGTAGGCCCATTACTCAGTAAGGAGAGATATAGACAAGAATAACAGAAAATGCAGCAATAGCTGAAGTGTTAAATGCCTTTCAGTTTTCACCCCCAAAAAAGTTAAGTGATTGGGCCATTAACATAGTGAGCATCAGTGTAAATGGGGCAGGATCTGACATTAAAATAGGAAAAGAACAAATTAAGAATTACTTAGACAAGTTAAATGTCTTCAAGTTGGCAAGGCCAGATGAAATACATTCTAGAATACTTAAGGAACTGGCTGAAAAGATCTCTGAGCCATCAGTGATTATTTCTGAGAACTTGTGGAGGATGGGAGAGATACCAGAGGACTGGAGATGGGCAAATCTAGTGCCCATCTATAAAAAGTGGAATAAGGGCAACCTGGGGAATTATAAACCAGTCATCTTAACTTCAGTATCTGCAAAGATAATGGAACAAATAATCAAACAAGCAATTTGTAAGCACCTGGAGAAAATAAGGCAATAAGTAGCAGTCAACATAGACTTGTTAATAACAAATCATGTCAAACCAAAGTAGTATCCTTCTTTGATAGGATAACAAGCCTTGTGGATGGGGGAGAAGCAGTAGATGTGATATGTCTCAACTGTAGTAAGAGTTCTGATACTGTCTCACATAACGTTCTCATAAACAAACCAGAGACATATCACCTAGACAAACCTACTATAAGGCAGGTGCACAACTGGCTGGAAAACTGTACTCATACAATAGATATCAATGGTTCACAGTTGAGTTACAAGGACATATTGAACGGGATCCTGCAGGGATCTGTCCCGCGTCTCGTTCTATTCAATATCTTCATAGATGGTTTGGATAATGGCACAGAGATTACACTTGTAAAGTCTGCAAAGGATACCAAACTGGGAGTGATTACAAGCATTTTGGAGGACAGAATTAGAATTCAGAATGATTTTGACAAACTGGAGAAATGGTCAGCATTAGTAGGATGAAATTCAGTAAGAACAAATACAAAATACTCCACTTACAAATCAATTGCACAAACACAAAATGGGAAATGACGGCCTAGACAGGAGTACTGCAGAAAAAGATCTGGGAGTTATAGTAGCTTACAAACTAAATATTAGTCAGCAACATAATATGGTTGCAGAAAAAGTGAATATCATTCTGGGATGTGTTAGCTGGAGTGTTTTAGATAAGACAAGTATTTCTTCTACTCCACTCAGCACTGATAAGGCCTCCACTGGAGTATCGTGAACAGTTCTGGGCACCGCACTTCAGGAAAAATGTGAACAAAGTCCAGGGGGCAGTAACAAACATTATTAAAGTTCTAGAACACATGATCCATAGGGAAAGATAGAAAAAACTGTGTATGTTTCATCTGGAGAAGAGAAGGAGGGGAGACATGATAACAGTCTTCAAGTAGGTAAAAGGTTGTTATAAAGAGGAAGGTGATAAGCAGTGAGGACAGGACAAGAAGTAATGAGTTTAAATTCCAGCAAGGAAGATTTAGTTTAGACATCAGGAAAAGCTTTCTGTCAGGGTGGTTAAGCATTGTAACAAATTGTCTAGGTAGGTTGTTGGAATCTTCATCATTGAAGGTTTTTAAGAACAGGTAAGACAAACACCTGTCAGAGATGGTCTAGATAATACTCAATCCTACTTCAATGAAGGAGACTGGATTATACAACCAATTAGTGTCCCTTCCAGTTCTACATTTCTGTTATTCTGTGACTGACTGCAATGGAATTGTGCTGCTTTACACCATCTGGAGATTTGTCCCTGCATCTCCTCCACTAAGCTGCCTGTCAGAGACTGAGGGTTTTTGCCCTGAGCCCAGCTCTGCCTGCGTCACTGTGCATCCACGGCACAGAGGTAGCTGCCTGAGTCCCCCAGCTGGGAGTGGGTGATGTGCAGAGAGCTGCGTTTCCCACTTTCCAGGCGCTCGCCTATGAATCGCCCCACAGTGACATTGTTATTAGAGCTTGTGGTCAACAGGTGAGTCGGCCCTTGCCCAGGGAGCTGCTGGTACCACTGGAAGGCTTGGAAAGTTCTGGTGTAAGAGCAGGACATTGTGGAGACCTTCCCTTCCCCAGTAACCAGCGACTCAGGGCTCTGAACCACTTGGGCTTTGCAGCAGGAGCCTGGAGGGAAACAATATAACAGCAGTTATC